TTTCCAAAATATATTTAATGTACGGATTCGACTGAGAATTTTATTATATGTATAGATTACCTTATAATAAAATGCCAAAGTCCGGATTTCTTGTTACTATTTTTTTTAACATTTATTTTTTTTAAACCGACCGCATTTTCCCGCCAGTGTGAAAAATTTAAACGAACACAGAACGTGACCGCCATTAGTGATGTTATCGTTTATCGACACATACATTTAAAGGTCCAATCGATTTAACTTCGCCGCTTTCGAACACACTATTTATTTCAATTTTAAATTCTGATCGCAGACATGGCGGGAACTTGCTTTATTCGTGTGCAAATTTATTTTATGCTATTCCCACAGTCTTTATTACACTGAAATAGAGTTGATTTTTCAATGTTTTTGTGTCACGTTTTTTTACAGTTCATTTGACACGATAACTGTCAATAGTGCTTGTAACAAAGAAATAATGTTTTTATTTGGTTAAGGATTGTTTTATTTGATTTTTTTCATGGAAATTGCACACGAATTGTTAAATTTTCGATGCGTTGACACTTCGAGTTTCGACGTTACATTCACACATACACTTGACATTCTGAGAAAATCGTCTCATTTTTATCACCCGATTTAATTTAACATATTTTCTTGAAATACGGATATTATGTCTGGACGAAACGTGGTGAGTTTTTAAATATATTCAAATTTGTAGTTTGTTTGCCGATTATGCTAACTACTTGTCTGAGTTTTTTACGTGAGCCATGAAAGTGGTATTTTAGTACCTTTTAAGTAACAGTAATGTATAATATGTACAGTTTATAGAGGTTAGGGTAGTAATTGTTGTCACGTTTCTTTAAAACATAGGGAGGAATTTATTATCGTTTAAAATATCTAATATTTATTAATATAGCTTTTATTAGCTTTCATACTACCTACATGAATGAAATAAAGGTGTCGCATATAAAACGTTTTAGAAATTTTCACATTTTGTTTTGTCTGTTCATTTCTGATTTCTGTATCTATGCATCAGTTGCTGGTCAAGTTTTGATTAAATTTTTTCCATTGTATAAGTATCTCAGTTAAAACAGAATTAAATGAGCTAAACTGAAAGATTTTACGAGTAACCATTGAATAGTTTTCGCTCCAAGTTATTGTACCTATTGTCATTTTATTTTGAAATACTTAAAAAAAATCGATACGACTGTCAGAAATAGGTTAAAAAAAGGTTACAAGTTTTGATTACCTAAACATTTAGTTACAAGCGCGGAGTTTCTTAAGGAACAAATAAAAATTACTTTTAATAAATGTCAATAAATGTCATAAAATTAAAAAAAAATAGCGAAGCTAATATTATGCTCTCTCTTTAAGAAGGAGAGAAAGAATGCGTAAAAATATAAAAAAATATAGTATTATTCATATCTGCTTCTGAAAATACAACTAAAACCTTTATAAATCATTCTTTAAATAAAATAAACAGCAAAATATCACGCTACTACATATTTTTGACTTTGACATTTATTTTGGCGGACTCCATCTATATATTTTTTTTAGTCTGAAATTCTAACGTATTATCTAATCAAGCCTAGATAGTATAGTATAGAGTCTATTTAATTATTTAACTAGAATTAGCGCCGCCCAGTGTCTTAGTAGAAATAGAGCAACTGTTATCTGTGACGGATCTCTGCAGACCAGGGCTCCTAACATATAACGGGCCTACTATCGAAAACAGTAGATAATATTGTGAATTTGTAAAATAAAAAATAAAAAAATTAAATAAATAACCCTGAGATCAATTAAGACCCAAACAATAACGTTATTCTAATATCGTCCAGTACTATCAATCCTTATAGATTTTATAAAGACAAAATGACAATTAATTCAAGGCCCCAAGAAGTGTTACCTGGGTCCCCCAAATTCACGGTCGGCTCTTGTCAACAGACAGGGTACTACACTAGTGTAGTATTATGTAGGTAATCTGTGGTTAAAATGAAGCTAATAAAACGAATAAAAAAGACCAATCGTCAGATTAATATGAGCTCTCAGCAGAGAATCGTGACGTCCAATCGTCCGAAACATTGCCAAGGCGTGGCGCTGATTCAGCGCGAGGTTTTTTATCGTTTATTTGATGGCTTCATTGGCGACGTTTGATGTCTCGACATGTTTGAAATTTGGGAACCTATCAATATACGTTTTATCGATCTTTACTTCTTTAATACTAGCGATTCACCCTCACTTCACTCGGGTTCGTCCCTAGATGCGTTTTAGCAGTCAGTATAAAATAGATATGATGTATATAATAATGTGTACGTATATAGGTATGATGAGTTGTTGTAGATTGTATTATGACGTGTTTTCCCGTGGGAATGAGATAATCTCTCGCGGTAAAAAGTAGCCTATGTCACTCTCCAGCCCTTCAACTATGTCCACACAAAAACAACGCTAATCCATCACTCTGATTCGACGTAAAAGAAGGACAAACAAACAACAAACAAACAAACAAACAAACAAACGAAGACTTCACATTTATAATACTTTTTTTTTTATAACACTTAAGATGGTCAATAGCAATAAAAAAAATATGTTGACAAACAGAGGAGAAAAATGGACTGAACTGTTTTGTCTTTGCCTATTTATACATATACATTATACATATAGATAATAACTAAATCGCAATATTTTTCTACCATTTGCGAATCGGATATGTTACTTAGTTTGAATTTTGTGTTAGCATTAATTAAATTATTACTTGTTTCGAAAGGTAAGTATAGTCGTATCAGAGTATCTAGTAGGTATATGAGAGTATTGTAATTTTAGCCTTATAACCTCTGTCAAATACCTCTGTAAAATGAAGCATCATTTCTTCAGAATATCTACACTAATATTATAAAGAGGTAAAATTTGTAAGTGTTTTTGTAGGGATTAATCTATGAAATTACAGAAGCGATTCAAAAAATATTTTCACTTAATGGAAGACACATTACCGTGGAGTGCATTGGCAATTTTTTCTGTTTAGAATCTTTATTTCTCATTAAGAATAACAAATTCACTTACCTACATGAGAAAACACATTAAATATTATAACATTTACTAAATGCGAGTACGTACAAGTTACATTTGTGAGAAATACATAGTATGCGGGTAATCCTTAAAAATAATACTTAAAACTACAAACAAGTTAACAATACAGTTAGAGCAAAGCGCTAAGAATAAAGAAATCATGGAAATGGCAAAGACTACATTTTACTTTTCTTTTTTTTTAATTCAAATTTTTTTTTATTTCGATAAAATGTGTTTTTGTCAGGAATTTTAGTAACTTTTTTGAAGTTGGATAAAAATAACAGTTGAGTTGCTTATCGGCTGTTAGGCACCAGTGAGCGAGGTGATGGTAAATTGCTAGTTTTTGATTTATTTAGAGCTCCTCATTACGCCCCAATTCAGAAACGTAAATACTAAAATTGTGCCATATATTTCATTGATTTCTAAATTTTAGAATTTTAGAATAACAACAATTTGATATTTGCTTTACCCAAAAATTGCTACACCCAAAAATATATACAATTAAATAACATAATTTAAATCAAATTAAGAATTTTTCTGTGCCAAACAAACCGTTTAGTCTACAGATTGAAGAAATTAACATAGATATATATAGGCACTAGAAGAACTTTACCAACCTTATGTAGCAGTCGGTTACAAAAATCATCCATTTTTTTTTAATTTAAATCCTAAAAGCTACGTTTTCCGGATATATCAATGTCGAAACGTCTAAAATTTGGACAAGTGCGATGCAGACTTTAAAAAATGGTACAAGATGTTATCTGCGAAATAAATGGCTTTTATTTATTGATATTCGATGCGTCAGTTTTCAGCACGTTATAATTTTGTACGTGTAGGATATATTACTACTTAGATTAACTCAAATGATAATTAATCTTTTTAATATCATTTAAAAAAGTAATTAATCTACCCTTTTAAAACTTTTTAAGAAGTTTTTGGGGAGGACTTTTCTAAGAAATTTTCGTGAGACCATCATCATTGTTGTATGAAAATCGATTCATAATAACTGGCGTAATCAAGTTAAAAGCAGCAGTAGCCCAGTGCTAGTCCACTGGCAACACGCTCGGTTGGAAAACTAAGTAAGGCGGGTTCTTATCCTGGCCTTGCACCTTGGACATTTTCATACGTGAATCATTTTTAAGGCGATTGCCACCCACATTACAGTAATGGGCAACATCATGATAAAACCTGTATGTCTGAGAGAGCCTAGCAAGTTTTCAAAAGACGTATGGATTCCGCCAGCCTGCACTTGGCCAGCGTGGTTGACTGTCCCCAAACAATCATTAAAATGTGCTGAAGGCAAATTTTAAAATCTTTGATTTTGAAATACAGCACTATGAATAGGGAGGTTTTCAGGGTTAGTAAGAAACTATCTAATGAGTTGTTACGACCTAATTATGAGTTGGACCTTCTCACCTGCCATTCTATTCTTTTGTTTAGTGGCTTCCAGGAGTACCAATTGGGCACAAATTACTTCGCCAAGGTCGCGTAGAATGGAGAACTCCTTACCTACCATACTCAAAGTGTGAGATTAATTCAGGCTTGATCACATCAAGCTTGTATTTAACATAAATAAACTTGTTTTGTACTAACAGCTAATATAATCAGTGTAATCTATAACTTTTTATTTATTTTTAAATTATGCTCAAATATTTTGGCGAAACGCATTAAATAGAACCAAAGACTTGTATGTACACACGCTATCTGTGTGTACGTTAAACTTTCCCTTTTTTTGTGATCGGCGATTAAAAATATACTTTATTCAAATAGACTTTTACAAATTACTTCTGAATAGTCAATTTTTATTTAAAAAAAATTAATCTAAATGTCAGCATGTAAGTCTGTTGGGAGCTACCGCCAGCATGTTAAACATTTATACACCAGCTAATATACTCGTTCATTAAAATTAATCTGTAATTTAATTATATTTACTCCAAAATTTAATGCAAATCATTCTTCTACAGGTAACGAATCAGAAGCAGATCAAGAAGATGACACGCCGAGAGAGAATAAAGCAAGAAGGAGAAGAACTGCCTTCACATCGGAGCAGCTCCTGGAACTAGAAAGGGAGTTCCATGCCAAGAAATACTTGAGTCTCACTGAAAGATCACAAATTGCATCTGCATTGAAATTGAGTGAAGTACAGGTAGGTAATATTAAATTATTGATGCTCGTTGCTTTGTGCTTGTGTATTTTAAGATTTATCTGTGATTTTAAAATATTAAATAAGCAGCCTATTTTGAGTAAAACTACTTTTTATGATTTTTATTTTGATTAAGGGGCCGCTTCACGTGAAGCAGACAACAAAAAAATGAGGTTCTGAAATTAGTTCAATTTAGGCATATTTGTAATTCTAGAACATATGAATTCTAAAGAAGTGACCTGAACGATGAAAGGATTTTTTTGAAAAGTTTTTTTACAAATGTTGTATAAAAAAAATTTCTAATGTTAAATCGGAAGTAACCACGGATAAAACTTAACGTGTATAAATTTTACCATAAAAATCCCATACCAATTTACCTTAAGATTAATTTTTAAGTGGTTCTTTTCACAAGTCAAAGATGGCGTTATCATATATATTTTATTCTTACTGTTTATTTTTATTATTAAATTTTACAGTTTAGACTGTTATTAAAAAATATATTAACACTCAATTATTTTTCAGGTAAAAATCTGGTTTCAAAATCGTCGTGCTAAATGGAAACGTGTAAAAGCAGGATTAGCATCCGGCAGCCATAGCAGTAAAACGTCTGGAACAAAAATCGTAGTGCCCATTCCTGTACACGTAAATCGATTTGCCGTTCGAACACAACATCATCAGATGGAAAAACAGAATTTACAATATCGTTTAGACCGAACTCAACCTTTATCGGGAAGTTTATTGCAATCGCAAACATCAGCTTTTCTGTCGGCATCGAAAATCGATAATCGACAAGATTCGATATCGTTGGGCAGCACTATCTACGACGCGCGAATGATGGCTCGCTTTCAAAATGGCCGACACAGTTAATTTGTAAATTATATAATAAGATAATGCCTAAATTTAGTTGTATAATTATTATTAAAGATTGTGTGATAAAGTATCGATTTTTATTTCAATCCACGTAAAACTAAGAAAATCACGCTACTATTTTCGACTTTGGTGGGCTTTGTCTATATTATTTTTAGTCTGTACTAGAACTTAACTATAGCTAAAACCAAAAATAATCCCATCACTTAAGATTTTACTTGAACGTATGTAATAAACCTATTCATTTTTAATTTAGTTGTTTATTTAATAAATCTCTCTTTCCAAAAAACAGTTATAAAACAATCAAATCAAAGTCAAATAAGTCAATGAATGATGCCCAAACGCGGGAATATTATTTCTCGTATATTTTTTTTTATTTTTTGCCGTCAAGAGCAAATCATAAAATACACATATTTTACAATACTAAAACGAACCTTTAAAATTACCAACTTTAGATGCGTATTTAATGTTTTTTATTTTTTCTATTTTCACTATCAAGCTAATAAATATTTTTTAGTATAACATATTTAACTAATAATACATTTAAAGCTTTGAAAGCTAATAATAGGTATCTTAAAAAATATTTTTTAAGCTAATAAAAAAATTAAATAAAATAACATGGTAGGTTAGATATATTTTTTTTTACGTAGATAAAACAAAATTAAAAAATCCCTAACTTAACACACAAACTTTAAACGGACATCTGTACTCAGATACATTAGAATTTTGATATAACGACAAATAAAAGGCGCGTACAGTATAAAATACATCAATTCCTACACCCTGACACGCCTACCGATTATCGCAACAATTACCCACATCTGCTCACATGTATGGTGTACGCCCTGGATTTACTTGCATTTATTATAATTAATTGTGTTTTTTTACTACCATGTTATTTATATGTAAAAATTAATGGATAGATTTAGAATAACGACGGTCTAAAGCCAACCGTAATAAGTAGAAGCCTGTCTCGTTTGATAATCGACTTAAAAAGGAGTTTCTCAATTCGATTGTATGTTCTTTTGTGTGTACGTGATTATGTGACTACTTCGTTTTAGTGGCTAGCATGTACGACTACAGATCTGGAAATCGTGGGTTCGAGTCCCGGGTTGGGGCAAGATTAGTTATTGATTTCTGTCAAGAAAGTCTCAGGAACAGCTCGGACGTTGGAAGTTGGCGGTGTTTCTCCCCGTGCCTCAAAGAACGCTTCAAGCCGTCGGTCCTGAGCCTGATTTCTTACTGGTCGTGGCGAATTATCGTCCCACCGGAGTTTATGAGTGAAAGCAATAGAGTGGATGTTGTGTTTGCACTCATATTTATCACTATAACCTGCACAGTTGTCTAGTTTAAATATAGCTGTCCGTGGCCAAATCATTATCTAAATTTTATTTTGTTATCTATAGTGTTTAATTAATTATCTATTGTTAAAATTCAGCCAACTATGTTTTTAAGGTTTTAATATTATAACCTACTAAACACAAGCAAAATATTCCTTTACAGAAATTTAAAGCCTTTTTCTTTGAAATCAGTCAAAAATATTGGAGACCAAAATTAATATAAAACTATTATTAATAAGAAATATTATGGCAATTATAAATTAAATAAAAACATATCCACCCTACATTTAGTTGCAAACAATACACCGGCCATCTTTCATTCTCATTCATCGAATGTCAAAGGGCAATCTCAATAGTTGTTTTTTACATGTCATCTTTAAAAAACAAACCCAAATACTTTTGTGTAAGGTTCAAATTCAAATAAAAAGTTCATTGTATTGCCAAATAAAAGTAAGCTTAGATAAATCTAACTTTAATCCTTTGGAATAAAGTTAAAAATGGCTTGTTTGTACAATATTTAGAAGATCTTTTGCGAATTTTCCGATCTCTATTGCTCTTGAATTAAAGGTTAATTTCGCATGTCAATTTTGATTGTGTTTGCTTTGTCAGTTGAAATAGATTTCGGTCCCGCCCACTTAGAGCTAGAGTGAATATGTTAGATAATTATTATAGGACTAGCTTATCCGACAGACATCGTTCTACCAAAAGCTATTGGACTGTGACAGCCCCACAAACTTACAGATTTTTATGTTTTTCCATGACATGTTTCCAATTTTTCTCTTCGTAAGAACCTTTCTCGGACTTTAACGAATACTTATTTAAAAAAAAAATTAGCCGTAAAGGTCCAGCAGTTTTCGAGTTTTGTGCTTTGCAACATTTAGGCATTAATTTTCATTTATAAGATTAACTCACTATCAATCGTTTTTAGATTCACCGACTTCAAAAGCAACCTATAAGCAAATGCTTAAATTATTTTTTTTGAACAAAAAGATAGCCTAATTAAAAACCTCCTTTTTTAAATACAATCCTATTAATATTACTCTTTTACGCCAAACCACTGAAGAGATTTTGATGAAACTTTACAGTAATATAGCTTACACAACTTAGTAACACATAAGCTATAATCTAATAAAGATTAAAGATATATTAATATAAGCCCGCGAAGAAGCTATCAACTCGGAAGCCAGTTCTGCTGAGAAGAACCACTTACACCAAACACAATATCTCAACTCTTTATAATATCAATAACAACAATAAATACAAATATTTTTTTACACAAATTAAATTTGTAGTTACCAGATACAATTACTAATATCATAACAAAGGCGCAATCCCTAGGGGCGTGGCTGGACATTTCTCGATGTAACTTTTAGGGCGCGATGTGCCTTTTAATTGTTGTCCCCATACAAGGGTGATCTATTATTGTTAGTCAATTGCAGTTCGCGCTTGTCTTATTTGGATATTTGGATGTGAAAATTATTTTAGTAATAGAATGAGTTTTGATAGCTATTATGTATGGTGGCAGCATGTCAGTATAAAATGGGCTAAGGATTGAAGTTCGATTTTTAACCAACTGGGGCGAAGCCCAAAGGAGGGTTATGTCGGCTGCATAATACTCTGTTTCTACGTCAACTTCTTCTCATCTGTTTAGTTCGATTTTTACACAATCGGTTTTTTTATTATATCAACACTTCTACACAAAAACATACTGCCTACATTATATAGAGGTAAAGTGTGTAAGTTTGTATGTAGGGGGTAATCTCTGAAACTACTAATACGATTTTGACAATTATTTCACTAACTGGAAGCTATATTACCGCCGAATGCTGTAGGTTTTTTTTTATCAATTAAATCAAATTATACTTTATTTAAGTAGACTTTTACAAGCACTTTTGAATCGTAAATTTTTCGTTTTAAATTTAAATCAAATGTCAGTACCTTGTAAGTCCGTGAGAAATCTACCACCGGCTCGGAAGGCATTTCTGCTGAGAAGAGCCGGCGAGAAACTCAACAGTTGCCATTTCAAAATAATATTTGTTTACAATATTGCAATACAATATATCTACTTATCCTACGTGAGAATCAACCAGGCATAAGTCCCACACATTGACATCTACGAAGTATATAAGCTTTATTAAATAATATATTTGTAATTTAAGATTTCTCAATGAAAATGTATTTAATGTCAGTTATTATAATAGCATTAAATGAAGTTGGAAAAAACTGGCCACTGAAATGCTCTACCGACGCGAGCTGCCTATATTGTTTTAATTTTAAATAAAGGAATAAAATAAATGGCAAAAACACCTCGCTAACAGACGTTTTATAATTATGTGTGCGTTTTATAAATATGTTTTAATAAAAATGAATGTTTGCTTGCGTCATAAGGTTTATATAGGTACATGAATAGTGATGATATCCTCCAGAAAGATTTCGGCCACAGCGGCCAATCTCACTGAGATCAGCCAACTGCGCAGCAGATATTTTTTTTTTCTTTTTTTTTTTCTTTTTCTTTTTTTTTCTGACGCGGCTTTTTCCGCACTTAGGCATCCTTACCCGTTGTGCGTGAGCTTGTGCTGCTGTGAGTGTTATTCTTTTCATCCCAGAGCGTCCCAGTAGTCTAGCAGGCTGCCGGTGTCCTGGAAGATTTGTGGGATCGATCTATTGGGGCCGAGTTTATCTTCGCGTAATTGTTCCAGTGCACTGCATTCAGTTAGAATGTGTGCTGGTGTTTCATCTTCTTGGAGGCACGCTCTGCATCTCATACTCCGGTGAGACTATAATTCGACACGTTCAGATTGGTGGTGCAAGACCGACGGAACACGTTCTTTCCGGGATAGAGGGGTCAAACACTGCCAACTTCCCAACTCCGGGCTATTATTACTGAGACTTTTTTAACAGAAAGACTCAATAACTAAACTTGGCTTGATCCGGAACTCGAACCCAGGACCTCTAGATCTGCAGCCGCTAGATCACCACCATAGGCAGTTAAAAAAATAAATTATTAACAATTATGCATAATTATACATTTTAAATTAATAGATATTAATAAGTATACTTTGATAGTGATTTTCCTTTATCTAGATTAATAGTAAAAAGCTAAAATGATGTTAAATTGTTCGTTTAAACGCGCTTATCTCTGGAACTAACAGTCAGATTTGAAAAAATCTTTCGACAGACCATCTTACATGACTACGACCCGTTGTAATTACTATATTTTATTCTAGTGTTCCTTCGTTGATTGATGCTTATGTCGAATCGCAGGATGCAATCTATATCCTTGCCAAATTTTATCGAAATTTGTTAAGCGACATATGCGTGTGAATAACAGACAGAGTTACTTTCATATTTATAATATTAGTAAGGAATAAACTATACTATGAAGTTAATAAATAACAAACAGTGCATGTGAAGACACGCGCAAATGCTAGTAAATAATGAACATAAATTATATATATATATATATATATATATATATATATATATATATATATATATATATATATATATATATATATATATATATATATATATATATATATATATATATATATATATATATATATATATTATATATTAAAGCGTTTAGCGTTTACCCGCTGCTTCACCCTCGTAATTCAATTATTTATTATATATGTAGGTACTTACCTAATATATGAATATCTCGTGTCACGATGTTTGTGATGGCACTCCTCCGAAACGGCTCAACCGATTTTAATGATTTTTTTTAGTATACTTGGTTTTACACCCCCCAACCCCACCCACATTTTTTAAGTAACATGGGGCGAACCCGAGCGGAACGAGGGTAAGTCGCTAGTATATTTATAAATTTTAGCCTATATATCACTTTTACGTATAGTTTCGTTAAATTTGTTTAGTAGTTTTTGCATGAAAAAGTAACAAACATAGGTACCTACTGTAACAAACTTTCGCATTTTCAATATTAATAGGAAGAGTTAAGTCGCAGTTAAAAGCCATTAGACATAACAAAGCAGTAATCGTATTCACTACACTGTATCGCTAAATCTATTTTCGCGTCATATTTGTAATGCTAAATTCGGCGAGCGATGCACGACGCCATTCGAGAGTAGGGATGTCCGTCCGTCTTGTCGATGATTTTAATGTTTTTTCATGATTTCATTTAACTTAATATGTATGTAACCTAACATTTGATTTTCAACCACCAAACCTTTGATTTTCAACCACTTGCTCTAAATAATGATAATGTTTGTTGGTTAGCACATTTTTGTAGAACAATTATATTTAACCAATTTCTTTGTAAGTGTTGATAAGACTTCGAACTGAAACAGGTCAAAAGGGAAGATTTTTTTTAGAAAAACATTTATTCGAGCTAATCTCAGAAACTATGTACGTACTGTACGGACTTTCATGCGGTTTTTACTAATAGAGACAGGGATATCTAAGAACGTTGTTTGCTATAATTTATATCTATTTTACATAAATATCTGTATATAATATAAGTAATATATATAAATTAAGTCCTAAAATTATATTTATTGAGAGTTTCCGAGAAGAACGCAACCGAACAAAGCGAGGGAAATTCCATTTGTGAATTAAAAGTGATTATTATCGATACAAAAGATTTTGCTATCGAACATCACTAGTGTACAAAGAGAACAGCCGATGCATAAAATTCATACCGCTGTCGGCATCCCTCGCAAATCTGACAAACATACCGTTGGGAAATCCACCCCTGTCAGACGGTTAGGTATATTTATTTTATTTTTATTTGTTCATATTTGAGACGACACGCTTGGCTCAGTTTGTAGTGACCCTACTTGCTGTGCCAGCGGTCGCGGGTTCGAGTCCCGCTGGGGGCATTCATTTGTGTGATGAGCACGAATGCTTGTACTCCAGTCATGGGTGTTTATATTTATAATATGTATGTATTTAAAGTGATATATGTGTAGTGTATCAACTATCTGCTATCCATAACACAAGTCTCGTAGCTTACCATGGAACTAGATGGTGTTGTGTGTTAATGTCCCGACATATTTATTTATTTATTATATTTAGT